TTAGAGATTATTCCTTAGAAGACATGACCTTCCATTTAGTAATGATTTTAGTTTAACTTGATTACCTAATTACATAAAACCAAAATATTAAAAATAGGAAACAGAACACAAAATTAATACCTAAAACCATGGAGTAGACTTTGCTCTCAAATTTACGGACACCTTGACTATCTCTGGGAGGAATTCTTTCACCTGGCTGGCAAGGAATTCCAGCAGACCTCTGTTAATTCCAAATCTTGCACCTTCCTACAGTGTGATACCAAGTGTTTTATTTAGCTAGTTATTTCTAACACAACTTCAACACAAATAAAGCAGGCTGGGTAATTCCCACAGCATGCTACGCTACTTGGCAGGTTGTTTATAAAGTGATTCCACAATACTCACTCGGACAGCCCAAACTCAGATTAATTAAAAATGATCTTCTTGAAAAACACCCAAAATGCAGCCCAAATGCCAAGATTTGTGTAATCCTCTCACTTTACTGAGATGACAAAGCAGTCAGTATACTCTATCTACGATTACAACACCATTAGATAACCAACAGTAAGTTATACATCACACAGGTCTTAGTGCCAGTTCTTAAGACCCAGTTCTGACCCTTCTGTTGACAAATGAACAACTTGGTTTCAAAATTACATGGCATATATTTACACAGACTATCAGTCTCTCTTCTGCAAGTGCCTACTTCTATGGCCTTCAGGGAATATGACTATTTTCAGGAACAAATACACAAAGGTATTCCATTCCACACCCAAATCCACCCAAATATGCCCAGAGTGCTGCAGCATAGAAAGCCTTAAGTGGTAAGTTCTAGATAAAAGCCTTAGATAGAACTGGTGAGTGTAACTCTGATGAGCAGGCCACCTAGCTTGAATGTTAAACTTACGTTTGCCTAAAAGACTATTTTACTGAGAACTCAAGTGCTCACATGGAGGTCAGAAGAATCGATACAAGGATACTCTCAAGGTCTCTCTGAAGAACTTTGGTAACAATTGTGAGATGTGGGAGACACTGGCACAGGACTGCCCAGCATGGTACGTCCGAATCAAGGAAGATGAGCTATACTTTATGAGCAAAGCAGAATTATAGTAGATCAAATGTGAGATGCGCAAATGTAGAGAATCCACCCTAAATGTTCATATGGACTATTTGTGTCTGACCTGTGGTAAAGCCTTCCTAGCCCATAGCCACAGTCCAACACACTATACCTTGACTCCAAACATCCTGATGCCATTTTGGTCCCCCTCGAGAATGAAGAACAACAAATGAGGTATTGTTTTCTTAGTTAAGTTTCACAGGATCTTAGACACGGGGCTGGTAGGGATCTCAGAGGTCAGTGAGTACTGACTCCTCATTTTAAAAGGTTACAGAAGCTGAGCTTATATAATTCGAAAGTTGATTGGTCCAAAGTAAATCTCTTGAGTGCTCTGGCCACAGCACCTGGATAAAACTTCTAAAACAAAAGGTAAAGCACGCCCCAGCTTCACAGTAACTTATAGGGAGTGTAATGAAGTGGAAAGAGTGCTGGCTTTCGAGCCAGAGCACCTGGCTTCGAATCCCTGTTCTGCTACTTACTAACTGTGGCAAGTCACTTTATTTCTCTGACCCTCAATTCCCATATTTGTGAAATGAGGTTAAAACTAAATCATGACTAAGGTTCCTTCCCAGCTCTAAATCTATGATCTATGACCCAACACAAAGCAGAACAAAGTTGGATTCCATTTCTGAGCAAAGAAAACCCATAGCAATATCATCCCTGGGATCAACAAACTGAATTATCGCCATGAAAATAGATAAATAATTGTCTAAAATGGCTTCTGCCAAAAAATTTCCTGAGGCTGAGGGGCATTTTTGTCAAATCAGATCAGTTTACTGTATGCTGACCCACTATTGTAAAGTAGTCTTACACCTTAAGGACCCGGACATTCATCCACCCACCTACTCATTCAATCATCAATCTATCTCTATCTCTGACTAGGTTACAGAAAGACCTAGCTTCCATTTTCTTTTTTAAAAAGAAATTTTGTTTTTTTTTTAAAATAAGTTCAAAAACAATTTTCAAAGATCACTGACTTAGTGCTGGAATTTCTCTGATCTAATTCTCTCATTTTACTGATGAAGAACAGCCAAGATGAGGCAGGTAGTCATTGGAAGAGCTAGATTTGAACCTCGTCTTCCTGACTCCAAATCCAGTCCTCCACACGACCACTACCATAGCAGCATTTCTTTGTTGGTAGGTTAAGGATAAGCTAGAAGATGTGAACCTGGAAATTTCCTATTCCTTAAAAAATGACACCATGGCTTAACATCTGCCACCAAAGTTGTTCTTGATAGTAGTTCCTGGTGTAATTGTGGTGTTCAACCACCTCTTTAAGAATTTATCCCAAATAAGGAAGGGCAGGGAAACAGAGAAATGAAAACATGCCAAGTTAGTAGCTCCTATCTCACACATGACCATTTCAGTCATTGGGATTCCAAGATATCTGTGATATGCACCCTATATATCACATCAGAAGATCTACAAAGTTATTACATAAACCTTACATCATTAAGTCATTTCTGAGAACTTCGTTACATATGGAATTTGATTAGTAGGAAGCAGAACTTTGAAATGTGCTTTAGACTTGCTGTTTGTCCTTTGTTCTCGAAAAGGACCATGACATCAGGGAGGTGATGCCATGACAGGCAAGCGAACCGCATTTAAGTTAGGGAGGACTGTGCAAAGTCACCAGCCTCCTCTCTCCTCCGGAGCCATCTGGGTCCAGTGGCCAGATCTGGATCAGAACAAATGAAGATGACCCAGGATGCACTGAGGGACCCTGGCCTTTTAAAGGTAAGGTCTTTAACAGGTCTCAATTTGACTGGGGCAGAGCCCATTCAGTGTGAAATTCACTATGGATTCTTCATTAAAAAAAAAAGGAAAAAAAAAACCAGCCATCATTCTCTAATCAGCTGTTATAAATTGTCTACCTACTTGTTTCTCCATACCCACTTGTTTCAGATGTCAAAGAGAATATTTCCTTTGTCCTTTAAGATGGAAGACCTTGGGTAATTTAAAAGACCAACTGGTACAAATACATCTAAAGTCCTTAAAAAAATATAATGAAGTCACAATGAAAGACAACTACAGTTAGCAGAATCCTTGATAGATCAAATCATGTTCTGTCATTACAAGTGTAGGTGAAGGGTCATTGAGCTTGGAGGACCTGAGGCCAAAGTGCTCTGTGATTATCCGGGTAACCTTGGCCCAGTCAGTTAGTGCTTCTTAGCCTCAAATTTCTCAGCTGTAAGCTGAATAGGGCCAACTAGATAACCTTTGAGGCCCCTTTCAGCTCTAAATCTATGATCCTCTGATCTGCCAGCAAATTACTTGCACCCATACATTCCTAACCTATTTACACTGGAAGCCTAATTTGATAACCTGTGGATAAGAATCAAAGCAAGAGACTGCTGCAAGTAACACAGAGCATGCTCAGATTGCCAGCCTCTATTACACACTTTAGGTAACAACATAACACCAGCAGATTGTACCCAGGGCCTCACTGTGACAAATCAGAGAGACAAGCTCTCAGATGTTAAGTCTAGGCAATACTGAATAAAGCAGGGCTCTCTCTCACTTCCTCGCTCTTGCTCTCACGCTCTCTCTCTCTCCTCTTTTCCCCCCTCTTTCTCCTCCTCCCAAGACCTGTCACACACGGAAGGCAGAGAAGATGCAATCTCCCAGCAGGATAATCTCGGAGACAGCATCTCCCACCTCACAATGAGGGGTGGCTGGTCTGCCTGTCCAGTACAGGTGCTACTCTAGGCTGAAAGAACACCAGGAGTTTCTGTTGCACACAAACTCTTCTCTGCTGCTCTGAAAGTGAGATCTGGGGGCCAGGGCCAAGCAGTCCTGAGGGCTGGGGAAAGAGTCAGACACTCCGGCCCGAGCCACTAACCACACTTTGTTTTCAAAGGGCAGCCCCAGGAGAGCTGAGTTAGTCTCCTCCAAAAGAAGGCATGCAAAAGGAGGAATCCAGATTTCCCCAAAATCCCCAAAATAAATCCAACCTTGAAAACAGTAGATGGGCTTGTCATTTGTCTAAGGCTACCACTTGAACCCAGAAGGGGGCAAGCAGAGAATTTAAAGAGGCCAAATTTTTAAAAAGTTGGTTAAGGATTTCTTTTTTTTTTTTCCCTCAAACCCCCTGGGGGGGGATGAGGAGGGGGAAGGGTATCGATTCCTGAATCTCTCAAGGAGTCGCGAAGAGTCCAGAAAAGATGCCAGATAAGGAGTAGAGGAAAGAAAAGCCCTAGAAACTTTCCAGAGCTGCCAGATCGCTTTATTCTTTGCAACAGACTAGGGAAAGCTACAGCAACAGCAGCAGCAGCAGCAGCAACCGGGGGTGGGGGGAGAGGGGGTGTGCAGGACTGAAACAGAGCTGATCCTCGCAGGAGCTGGGGCCGAGGGGTGCGCCCTGGCATTCCCCAGGAAATAGAAAAGGGGAATTGGGGCAGGAAGGCAGCGATCCTTCCAATCCCAACAGTCTTCCAGTCGCCTGCACCCAACAAAAGAGCCCAAGGCCGGCGTCCTGCTACACCCCGCCCCCCACCAGCACCCCGGCCACCTTTCTGGAACGAAGCCTACCACGGAGCGGGGTGGGAGAGAGAGCGGAGAAGGAGGTGAGATATCCCTTCTCCTCTCACGCCAAAGGAAGGGATGGATGGGTGTGCTTGTGTGTGTTCTGTGTGTGCGTGCACGCACGCGGATCAATGCAGCGAGCCCTCCGTTCAGCCAACAGCAGCAGCTGGCTCCCCCCCACCCCCAGCTCTCTTCCCCTCCCCTCCCCCAGCCGGGAGCATCTGCCCCAGGGGCACCCCGGCCCTCGCCGCAGCGAACACAATGAAGCCCCCAGACCCCCCCCCCCTTCTGGGCCGCAGCCGCCTCGTCTCCGCGGTCTCTCCGCCAGCACAAAGCGCCCCCCCGGGGCCCCGGGCCCCGACCCCGGCCCCGCACCGACCTTGAGCTCGGGGCTCCCGCAAGGTCTTGGTCACCGCTTTCCACACGTTGCAGCCCAGCAGGCAGAGCAGCAGCAGCAGCGCCGCGGACCTGCTCATTGCAGCCCGCCGCAGCCGCAGGCACCGGGCCGCGGAGAGGCGGCAGCGGCGGCGGCGGCGGGGGTGGAGGCGGCTCGGGCTCGGGCTCGGGCTGCGGCTCCGGCTGCGGCTCCTCCCGCCGCCCGCATCAGGCGGCTCCGGCCCGGGATGCTGCGGCCGCTGCCTCGGCGGCTGCTGCTGCTGCCTCGGCGGCCGCCGCTGCCGCTGCTGCTGCTGCCCCGGCTCCCCGCGGCGGTATTGTGCGCCCTCCTCCTCCTCCCGCCGCCGCCGCGGGCCCCCGGGCTCCGCATCCCACGGGCTCGCCCGCCCGCTCGCTCGCTCGCCCCCTCGCCTCCACACACTGCTGGGTTTCCCTCAAGAGTCACCGCGGCGCCCGCGGCGGAGGCTCCACCAACTATTTAACCCTTTCCTGGCCCCGCCGTCTCCCCCCAGCCTGCGCACACAAGCGCGCACGCGGGCTGGCTCGCCCCCAGCCCCCGGCGCGGCCCACGAGCCGGACTCGTGATGCCACCTGCCGGCCAGCGGCGTGGAGGGGGGGATCCGGGGCGACGAGAGCCCTTGCCCCCGCCCCGTCTGCCCCAGACCTCGACCCCCGGGCCGCAGGTGGCGAGGGCACATTTGGCAATCCCCCATTGCTCTCTGATCTAGCCGGTATGCTTAGAAAGACGGGCATCAAAGACTGAGACCTGAAAGGGGTCTTGGAAGGTGATAAAGTCCAACCCCCCTCATTTAAGTCAGATGAGGCACAGATAGGTTAAGCGACTTGTCCAGAGTCAAGCAGCTAGGAAAAGTACGAGGTTGGATTTGAACCCGGTCTTCCTGATTCTAATCCTTTATCCATTACACACAGCTTGCTGCCTTCTGATCAGGGGGCTATAACCTGGGATCCTTTTTTTTTTTTTAAATATTCAATATAACGAATTTCCCTTGTAGTGTTTTGTTTTCATTTTATGCATTTGAAACCATTATTCTGAGAAGTCCACAGGATTCACCAGATTTCCATAGCAGTTGAAGACGGACGAACACACGGACACACACACACACTCACACACAGTTAAAGACCCCTCATCTAGTTACTAAACGCTGGAGGGGAGACTTAGGTATTGTTTTGCATTTCCTTAGACACCTTTATACTGTCTCCCGGAGAGATTAGAGATTTGAAGTTAAATTAAAGCAGGCAATGGAATTCTAATTCTAATCCTTTTTGCACCTACCATTAAATGCATCAGTGAATGTTTCTTGATGGAGCTGTTAAAAGGCATTTCCGGAACTAACAGTTTCTAGATATAAACTCACAGATTGAGATTTGGGAATGGAACTTGGAGGTCATCTACTCCACCCATTTCGTTTTACAAATAAGGAAACTGAGGCTCAGGAAGGTTAATGACTTAACCAAGGGTATACAAATAAAACTGGAGGAGGTAGGGTCTGAAACCAGTTCCTCTGACTCCACATTTCTAAGCTTTTGAGGCAATACACACCATTTAAGGTAGTAACAGTTTATTACAAACTAGATAAGATGCCCTACACAGCCCTACAAGTAGCCAACCTTGTTCCAAGAACGCTAGGCCAAGTAGGATGGTTCGTAGGATTACTATATGGATCGTAGATTAAGAGCTGGAAGGGGCCAATTATTATCAACATTTTATTAACTAAGAACCAGCGCTCATGGTAGTCCCCTACCAGGCACAGGATGGAGTATGACCCTTGCCCAGTTGACTTACAATAGACAAATTATAAAGGCTGCCATAATGCAATAAAACCAGGCAGCAGAGAGACTCATGACGCCCTAACATTAGTTACTCTCAGCACCAGACCTATAATGATTACAAATTGTACACCCCTATCAATGAGAGTAGGGGGGTAAAATAGAGCCTTATCTAGATGGTGAAATAAAAGCAAGAAGTGAATATTTCCTTGATCCCTTACCTACCTAGCTGAAGCACAGCCTATTTAATTACGACTTATGTCATTATCAAAGTGCGGCTTGAGGAAAGAACAATATAATAACTGGCACTTAGCATTTGAAAAGACATTATTTATATACATTATCTCATTTGATCCTTCACACAAAGCCTATAGGACAGGTACTACAAGTCCAGCTAACCCTATTTTACAGATGAGGAAGTTGAGGCTCATTGGAGTTAAGTATAGAGGTCGGATTTGAAACCAAGTTCTCCTGGCACTCGGCAGTCCAGCACTCTATCCACTAGACAATCATAGTGCCTCTCAACTGACACAGAATTTTTACAGGACAAATCCCCAAAATTCCTGTGGCCGGTCTTCACTGCCTTATGTACCTCTTGGTTTCTGGAAATCTTCATGACAGAAATGAATGTTGACAGTTTTGGTTGAAGTGAAATTCTATTCTTTTGTTTTGTTTTGTTTTGTTTTGTTTTTGGCTAGGCAGTGGAGTTAAGTGACTTGCCCAGGGTCACACAACTAGTGAAATTCTATTCTTGAGAGAAGATTAAACCCTTGAGCATCTCTCCCATTTTTTAAGATCCAGTAGAAATGTTGAAAGAAATGAAAAAGACCCAAAAGGAGTGAGATATTTTCAAGATGGCCTCCTTTCATTTTACACTCCTCAGACAGGAATGAAGAAGGAAAACTTGGGGGCAAGAATATGATGAAAAGAGGGTCAAATCTGGAGCTAGGAGAGATCCAGGTTAAAATCATCCCCCCTCCAACATACACATCTTGCAACTTATTATGCAAGCAAGTCACATAACCCCTCCAAGCTTCAGTTTCCTCATCTGTAAATTGGTTTAATCATAAGAAAAACTTATTACTTAGGATCTTAGATTTAGACCTGAAAGGAGAAATGGAAAAATGTAGACAGAATGATTGTACAATAGATGGACATTTGAGCATTTAAGCATCTGTTTCCAAAGGTAATTGGTAAATAAATTGATGTAGACAAAATGCATAGAATGTAATGATCCTGCTTACCCTCATCCACGCTGCAGGACACGTTACTTTGCACTAATTTCTTCACCATCCTTGCCTGCCCATTTCTATAAAGAGCATATGTTTAGGTACTAATATTTAAGATTAATGTTTTATCACCTCAGGTACATGTGTATTTACTGAAAATCAAAGGTTTATTTCATTCACTTAAACATTTAAGGTCTTACTACATGCTAGAAATATAATTTTTCTATTATTTTATTTCCTAGCATCCATCATTCAAGGAAAAGTCTAATAAGTCTTTCGGATTCCCTACTCACCCACTAGTGACCAACCTAAAATTTCTTTCCACTAGAGAAAAGATCTCTGTAGCATTTTACAATCTAGCCCTCTCCCTTCTTGAAATTTTCTCCTTCCTTTGTATATGGATATCCTGAAATGGCTCTCATTAAGAACTCCAGGGCACAGATGTCTGGAAATGTACATGTTGGCTAAGAGATTTTTTGAAATGTTTCTTAAGATTTTAACTTCCAATGATATTTTCTAATGTGTTATTTGCCATCTTTCCTGTTAACTTGCTTATTGAGGGGCAGCTGGGTGGTGCAGTGGATAGACCACTGGTCCTGAAGTCAGGAGGACCTGAGTTCAAATCCAGCCTCAGACCTAACACTTGACATATACTAGCTGTGTGACCTTGGGCAAGTCACTTAACCCCGATTGTCTCACTAAAAAAAAGAAAATGCATTAACTTGCTTATTGAAACTTGAGGATGCCAGTTTTTATTTTCTGGTATATTTCATGGTTGCACCCGCCTCATTCAGAGGCAGCACATTATAGTGTGTGAGGGTGGTAGGAATCCTATATGTGAACTCCGGGAATCTAGTTTTAGATCCCAGTTCTAACACCTACTAGCTGTGTGACAATAGGCTAGTCTCTAAGCCTCAGTGTCCTTCCCATTGTGGAAAAAGTGATTAATATTTGCACTACCTATATCACAAGTTTGTTGTGAGGAAAGCACAATCAATTCTTATATTTGTTTTCTACAGATGCGAGATTCTTTGCCTGCTTAGAAAAATAAAAATGTATTAATTGGTTTGTTCATAAAATTGTGTTAGGCATATATTAAATTGCAGCAAGGGCCAATTTTTTAAAGTAACACTTTTACAAACTGTCTACGTCCTTTTTGAAGTGTGTGTTGAGGGGCAGGGTAAGGCTTTAATAATAGACTAAGAAATTTTTGAAATTTACTCTGTTTGCAATAGGGAGCCACTGAGGAGTTTTGAGTAACAGAGTAATATGACCAGTACATGCATAATGAAGATTTAGACTAACAGAGCAAAGAATGATTGATTGGATCTGGTAGAGACTGGGTAGCAAAACCTCTTGGGAGATTGTTGCAACAGATCCAGGTGGATTCTAGTGAAATCCTGTGTTAGGACAATGGCAGTGGAAAGGACAAATTCTAGAGAGCGATTACAGAGGTAAGAACTAATTAGAGATTAAACAACCTAATCTTTAAGAATGAGTGGCTTAAAGAACAAATCACAGAAACAATCAATAATTTCATTAAAGAGAATGACGAGACAGCACATCAAATCCTATGGGATACAGCAAAAGCAGTGATCAGAGGAAAATCTCTAAATGCTTACATCAATGCAATAAAGAGCAGAGGCCCTTTGACTGAATCTAAACTTCACAGAATAAATTCCTTAATAAAAGGATTTGTTCTGTAAAAATTGGACTCAGTTAAAAGGCAACACCCAAGGACTTAGAAGGCCACATGTAGCCTCAAGGTCACAGGTTCCTCACCCCTATTTTAGCCAGTAAAGCTCACTGGGTAGCTTATGAGGGAACTGAAAATGCAAAAATGTTGGTGAATCATCCCAGGCCAGACAACTAACTAGTGGAAGAACTAGACCTAGAATAGTGATATCCTGATGCTCACGGCATTATTTTTTCAGACAGTGTGTTATCTTGGAATGAGCACTGTTTCTAGAGTCAGGGGAGTTGGGTTCAAAACCTACCTCTGTTAATTACTACCTATGGACTACATGGTCAGCCTCCTCAGAGCACCTACTTCTCTGTGTTTT